ACTCTCAGGATTTATGAAACAAATCGCTAAAAAATTCTGCAGACAGAGCCTACCATTAACCATCTTCTACCTTTTAAACATCGTCTCGTGAGTAGCCCAAATAAGATTTCTGAAAAATCTACAGCAGTCATCTCGAAGTGAATACAAATTTCCCAGCGACGATAAAAGTCCTGGGAATCTTAAGGGCTCCCAACTTCAGGATTTACGAAACAACCGAGGACGATCACGAATTCGTGACTGGAAATTTGGCGGAGTGTCGAAACGTTAAATAAAAGTCGGAATAAAGGAGAACTTTCCTACAAACAGCCCAATTAAACGGCCCATTTGCCTTGGTCGATACACACGGAATTTTCTCTGTACCTCTCAAGAGTAAGGCGATTACTATGCCGCGTGCGACTAAGACGTATGTGCCCGGGACGAATCGCTATTGGCCGGCCTCGACATTAAAAAGTGGCCACCTTATGATCGCGATGAGTCGTCGATCGCTGCTTCGAGGACTTTCTAGGAACCTTCTGCCGATACTTTCCATGCGGCTCGCACGTGAGTGGAAACAATGATCGCCGCGCAATCGTCAAAGGAAATGTCATAATCTGGTCCAAGCACTTTCGTCGTCGAAAATCGTCCGAAAATATTCACCATTCCTTTCCTTCAGTTCTACGCAACGTTTTTGTAATCGAGTTCAAGTACCCTTGCGATACGTACTTTTGACGAATAATATATCAGGTGTTTCTTGGATTTCACTAATCGATACTTGGAAGGTTTGACCGATTTCTCAATTTCTCATTTTTCGTGATTTTTTTTAAGGGAAAAGTAATCGAATTTATTTTTTGGTCGTCGTACTTGGCTATGTGAGACTTATTTTCTGCCCCCGAGATTAAAGAGTTGATTAAAAGGACGCATTTTTCGAACGATTCCGGAGATAAAGGGAAATTCGGAGAATGATCTGAAAGCAATTTCTAAAAGTGCCTTGAAAGGAAGGATCGTTCAACCCATGCGAAAGTATCTTTTGGATTAAAGTAAGGATTGCAAATTTATGGAAAACCTAGTGTATAAATTATTCAATTCACGAGAAAAATCTTATTAAACTTGGAATCCATAACGCACGTATCCATTAGAATCATTTCATCCTAATGGTATAGGAGAACGTGCAGTTGTGCTATAGGTACTCCCCATGGGGACACTTCACATAAACCCTGACTTTCGGACCCTAAAAGGAGACACATAAACGAGCAGTTAAGAAGGCGAATAATGCAATAAAAGCTGGTGAAAAATCATAGTCTAAAGCCCCTTATCCTGGATTACTGTGACACATAAATAAAACACAATGATGCTGGTACAAATTTACCGGTCCACTGTTTTCTTCCTTTTAAAAATACTCCGATAACATGCGAGTAAATCATTTTATGCCATAAATACAATCTCTGTACGAACATACATTAAAATATTTAATCTGTTGGAATTTTCATTTGTTTTCAAAATAATACAATGCAAAGATTTACGTAGTGTAGAAAAAAAAAAAAATGATCAAGAGTATGTTAATATCACAGAGTATCATATCAGTAGCCCTTTAATAAGAAACAGAAAAAAGGGGATTTTCAATAGGTATCCAGCTTCACTTTTCCCCCCTCTATTATTATTTTCTCGTCTAGAGTGATTGAACATTTCAACCTGAAAATCTCTACTTCAATATTTGCGGAATAAACAAGTAAAATCTCTGGAGCAAGAAAATCCTCAATTGTTAGCCACGTTTTACCGTGGTAAAACGAGGAAAAATACTACTTTCTCCCCGCAGGATGGGGATGAAGTGGCGCGTACAAAGCTGTAATTTAAAACTTTGATATCGTTCAAGCGTGATCTATCAATCCCGAACGAAATAGCTGACGAACGAAAAATCTCTCTATTATATCTTATCTCTCTCGGAATGCTGCGTGCTCTGGCTAGAATTTTATCCAGTTTTCCTCGTGTTTTTCATCCATCGTTGCTGTCCTCGGTCTCTCTCGCCGTCTATCAATCCGTACAAAACGTACGATTCCACCACGAGCTCGCTATGAAATTTCTTACCGTCCCTCGTAAAATGCACCCTTTAACTTCGTCGAAACGAGCTCCCCGCTTTCCGTGTAAATAGCAATAAAAATCAACGGGGACGAATCACAAAAGTTCCAGCCAATATTGCGGGATTGTTATTGGCTCGAGTACCATCGTGTGTGAAATAGCATGTGACGAATAAATTTTTTTTCCAATTCGAAATGCTCATCAATGTCGAGAGGAAGAATGTTGCAGATGTGTATCTTTACGAGAGTCGTAATTTCCAAGTAGATCAATTGGTGCTCGGGAGAGATTAATTGGTGAAGCTTTTGGAAAATTTGGAAAAGTAATTTTTTGCAAGTGACACTAACTACTCTGTCAAACGCTAAATTTAAATTTATAATATATCTGCAGTATGAAGTTTGCGAAACTTGAGAAATTATGCAGGAAAATTTGATTTTGGCAAGAATAATTAATTCTCGAGAATTTTGGAAGAGTAAATTTTTGCAAGCGACACTGCAATTATTCCGTCAAACGCTAAATTTCCAGAGATTCAAATTTAATAAAAATCAAATCTACCATTTTTCATGATATCTGCAGTATGAAATTTGCAAATTTACTTAAGAAATTATACAGGAAAATTTGATTTTGGCAAAACAGAATTGCGAAGAATAATTAATTCTCGAGAATTTTGGAAGAGTAAATTTTTGCAAGTGACACTGCAATTATTCCGTCAAACGCTAAATTTCCAGAGATTCAAATTTAATAAAAATCAAATCTACCATTTTTCATGATATCTGCAGTATGAAATTTGCAAACTTACTTAAGAAATTCTGCAATACTTTATAAACGTTAAAACAGACATTCTATACTAACTGATTTTTTTAAACACTTCGTTTCTCAGTTTCGCAACGTAGAACGATTGGAAGTTATATTTCGCATACCCATATTTGACACATGTTCCAATTCGAAATGTCCTGCCCGCCCAATGCGATACACTTCCGATGTGTAGATCATATTAATAATCGATTCCGGCGAAATACACACGAGCACGAGGGACAAATATTGTCACATGATGTCGCGGAATAAATTTCAATTACGAAATGATGAAGCTCCATTTACAAATTCAGTCGAAGAAGTAATGTGTGCGTAACAGCACATGATTTTAATCACGTGCTCAGTTAAGTCTAACTGTAGTCACGCGCAACAGCGTAATAATTAACCCCTTAGCTCAGTTGGGTCAACGATGTCGTTCAACCAACTACAAACATTCCGCCTCGATGTCTCACACTTGTAAATTGTAACAATTTCACGACACACGTCAATTTTCTTATCATTCATATTCAGGTTAGGAACTCGTGTAGCGTTAATTGATCACGTTAAAGCCTGCCTAAACGTTCTTTACGTTGTCTTTTTATCCATACTTTTTAAACAGAAGAACATTAGATAAAAGAAAATTCGATTTGAGATATTAATTTATTTATTTTTCAAGTTTCAAGTGAAAGAATTAACCCTTTCGCGACCTATCGGACGCATATGTCCCACTTGAGTACTTGAATAAAAATTCGTCTCGATTTAATATCCGTTACGTACGCGACAGTCGGTAAATAAGTGAGAAATTTGAAGAGAAAAAATAATTAGGTCATGAAAGGGTTAAGTTTCAAGTGGTAAATTGGAAAATTAATTGAATATTCTTTCGTGAATTCGACTGAATTTGAAGTACCAGAAATCTATGTATTTTACATTTACAGATCTGTGCAGTAATTACGTTGTCTTGTTGAAGTGGCGATTTAAAAAACTGTTATCAAAAAGGTTATTGCCTATTTTTCACGAAACAAGTGAGCAAATGGAAGTGACCTCGTTGTCAGAGAAATTTCTAAATACGTGATGGTTAATTCTAGGAATTAATTGAATTCATCACTGAAGATGTCATTCGAGTAGCTTGTCTGCAATATTATTTCGTGAGTCAGAAAGTAACATTTACTGCGACTGATCTAGCACGTTACTTCGACCGCGTTGCAAAGATATATAGTTCTTTTGAAATTCATGAGGAATTCCTTTATAAATGTTAACTACAATAATCTCGCGAGACAAACGCAGTAGAATTTCCATTATTCAAATACTTCAATTTTAAAAAATTCCGTCGTTTGAATATTTCACAATATTTTTTATCTATTCTTAAAATAGAAATATTTGATCGTATACTCGTTGTCGCGAGGCGGAGTATGCGTATAAATCAAAGAGAAATCATCGATAAGTGAATCAGAAGCTAAAGGTATAAATTATCGTCACTCCTGCAGTTGTTATTTAAAAGACTTCTTTTGATAAAGAGAAAAATACAATTAAGCATTTCAAGTATTCTATTATTCAAGCCTTGAGTAATGGAAATTGAGCAGTATAATTAAAAACGAAACCATTTTTATATTCAAAATAAAAAAAAACAAACTCTTGCTCTTGAAAACAGACAAAATTGGTGTGAAAACTTGTCATTTGCATTTTTGGCAATTTGCAAATTACAACGTGTTCTATTAGTGAAAAAAACTTTCATCTTTTAGTATAGTCACCATCGTAAAGAAATTGGAGATGGCGAAAAAAAAATGGAATTTCTGATTTTTAGGAATTTTTTTCTGAAAAATCTCTATTGAGCAAGTTTTCAATTTTCCCGGAGGAAAATCCTCCGTTTTCAACAGATTTGAACAGTAAAAGGAAAGAAATTTGGGGGAAAATCTTTTTCCGGGGGAATAATTTCTATTGCGCCAGTTTCCAAATTTCCCTGAGGAAAATCCTCCGTTTTCAACAGAATTGAATAATAAAAAGCAAAGAAATTTTTGGGGAAAAATCTCCATTTTTGCAGGCGACCATTTCTCCCGCCAAAGTCTTCACTTTTTCCCCGCGGAAAATCTACCATTCTCAGCAGAATCGAGCGGCAAAGATCAAGGAAGAGAAATAGAATAAAAATCGAAGGGTAGACTCACCGCAGATTGGAGACGACAACGGAGTATCTGCCCTCGATGTAGACCAGACCGACGTTCTGCAGTATAAGCCCGGTGATCAGCATGCCGATTAAGGCGGGAAGGGTGGTCAAGGAGAACAGCCATCCGCCGAAATGTGCCGCTATACAAAGGGCGGCGAGACCGAAAAGCTGGCCACCAGGAGCGGCGTCTTCTCCTAGCACCGTATACACGATGCCCCATAACAGCAACCCTAACAGGAACAGGCACAGCAGCCGGGCGAATTTTCTGTAGCTCGGGCAAAATGGCTGAGGACAGGCTCTTTTCCAACCTTCTGGCTCCCATGACGGCGTGTCGTCGCGACCGTGACATCGCGCGCAAAATAGATACAACCACGACCTGGAAGCAGCATTAAACCAAGCTAGAGTTAAAACAAAGTTGTTTCTCATGTTGGGTTACTTGCTCGGGGAATTCACTTCTTCTTTCTTTTTGTTTTCGGTTGTTTCTTTGTGCAAGGGAGCACATCGATGCAAAAGAAATAGAGTAAATTGGGACGTTGTATGACAGAGAGCAGTTCTGTGCTTTCTTGGCTCAAATTGGAGATTTGTGTGTGAAAACAGATGGATGAGGGATAGAGTGTCGACGAAGTGGGAATTTTTGATTACATTATAGTGAAAATTTTGGCTGATTTTTGGGACACGTCTATATTATTTTTTTTTTTTTGTATTCAATCGTAGGCTTTTCCTGAATTTCGTTTAAGTCTGAAAATAATACAGGGTGTCTGAAAGTCTTGTGAGAATTCCAAGTTTCCTAAATTACACATAGACATATCCTCCTATTCATCGAACTAATACCCACAATTTCCCAGGAAATTGCTGCTCACCTTACCGCACAATAACTACCTCACACTTCTGTTCAAAAGAACCAAGAAGAAAAAAAAAACACCTCCACTCAATTCACACCTTTTCAAACCAGGAAAAATCCAGTCACACCTCGATCCCAACCAGTTTTAACAAGTACACACATCCTCCACCCAAGGTCCCTCTTCATCGTTCCACCAAACATCACACCCTCTCTTCGGCTATCTCCCATCTACCGAGCAGGCTCGAACTTTGAATTATTGAAAGCTCAAAGCTCGAAATCAGAGTCGCGGGGAACAAGTCGGAATGCAAATAGATCACAGACCATGCTTCGCGCTGATTTGAAAGTCGGAAGTAAAACGTGCTGCCGGAAGAAGAGGAAGAAAAAGGGGAAAAGAAGGAGGAGGCAAAGTTTGAGGACGAGACCCTTCGGTAAATCGCACGTGCGCCATACCTCGACTGTCAACAGAAACGTTAATATTTGACGCGTGAATTTACTGCTTCGAAACAGCATCTGAGAATCTTCGCGCTCCCTCGTCGTTTCCCTCGCACGATCAATTCAGTCGCGAAAACGGAAGAATCGACAAGACCTCCGGATTTTCCACCCGTTTTATCACTCGTCCGAGACAACGATATTCAATCTTCTTCTCGTGTAACAGCAGAGACTAACACACGTCGGTCGAATCGAATTTTCGTGCTACTAGGTGATTCTCTCCTCCTACCTTTTTCTCCGTTGCTTCTTTTTCTCGAATCGCGACGAATCGAGGGGCGAAAGAAGCTCCGTCGGAAAGCGTTAAAACGTGCCGCATACCTCAGCAAAGCGCACGCGAACAGACGATATAGGAAACTTAGCGCGAGTGCTTGATTCAGTCTCATTAGACTTTATGATCTTACCAAGGCGATTGGAAATGACAGGTTTTGTAACCACGACTCTCTGTTACATCACGATCCGCTGGACGCTTCCTAGATCCGTTACAATTCTCCGCGATTAGGATCGCGTAGTTTTCATTCATTGTCTCGGAGTCGTTTTCATAGGTACGAATGGTGTGGCGGCTCCGAGAGGGGCAAACAAATATATGACTCGCGTAATCGCAACGACGGTGTGGGATAATTATGCGAGCGACTGTTAGATTGATCGATGGTGTTTTTCTCCTGCATATGTATTGTTTTCTACGTTTGTATGATTGATGGATCGCCAGCTTTTTTCTCGGCACGCCTCTTGTTGTGACAGACTGTGATGTTGTTTAACGGTGAGGAGAAATTATGTATAGTTTTCTGTGGTGACGAGGAAGTTAGGTGAAGTGTCGTGTTTCGATTAGAATAAAAGTTTTTGTACGGAGAAGTAAAAAATGAATTTCTCGTGATTACGAGTTTGATTAGTTGTTTCCATGGTTTGATGTTACTGTTGCATTAAGGACACAAGGTGTTCTATTTTCTTGGGAAATTTAATTTTTTACCGTAATTTCAAATTTTTCACGAAAAAGATAAGAATAGAAAAATAATTCTTCTGGATTCGTGTGACTATAGAAAAGATTTAAAAAAATACCGATTACCTGCTTTAATCCATTTTCTTAATTTAAATCTTAACATTGTCTTGTTATCGATGAACGATATTGGATCTAATTTTTAAGAAAAGCTAAACGTATAATCCTAGATTTGCCAAAGATAGATATTGATTAAAAAATTCCATTATCCTATTGTGATCTCTGCTTAATCTATGCCTTTCAGAAGCTTAGAGTAGCATAGAATAAGAAATCTCCACGTTATATTATGGCTTTATCTAATTCACTAGATTGTACTTGTAGGAAAAATAGTATTAAGAGCATTAGTATACGGGAAGAATCACTGATTAGAAGATTTCATTGAATGTGAAGCATTAAAAACGATCGAAGTTCATCGCGTTAACAGATTCTATTAGCACACATAATCATAGTTACAGATAATTTTGAAATTACTCCAACCATAAATTAGTACAATTAAAAATTCTAATACAATTGCAAATTGAAAAAGATGGCTCTTTAAAAAGTTATTTAAATGAATAATTTCGTAATTTGACATTTTCATTAGTTTACGGATCATTTTGCATGAATAAGCAATTTGTATATACAGTTTCCAGACAAACTTTGTTTGATACATTCATAATACCACGCTGTGAATTTTTTTAGCTCAATAAAAAAATATTTATACGACATTTCGGTAATCTTTATTGTCCCATTCTTACCTACTAAAATTAAACGAACATTTTTCATTCGAAAACGATTCCGAACCAAATTCCAATTTAATACCACTGAAAAAGAAGAAAATAAAACGCCTCTCGCACAATAAGCAAAAAAAAAAAATACAAAAATTGAGTGCACACATTGGAATAAAAATTATCCTACAGTTTTGGAGCGTACTAATAAGCTTTCCCTCTTTTCATTACCCTTCGAAGACATTTTCCACCATACATCGACCGTTTTTCACAAGAAAATAAAATTTACAAGATTTTTCTAAATTCACGAAAAAAACAAAAAAAGATTCAGCACATCAGGCAAATTTTACACGAAATATAGTATACGCTCATTTACCCCAATTACCACGCTCTCCATGCACAATCATAATAAATCACCTTCACCGCCATTCTCTCATTAATTTCCAACAAAAGAAAGAAGAGAAAAAAAAAGAGTTAAAACTCCGATGAAACTGTTCATCCTCTCTAACGAGCAAAAATCCGCCTCGAAATCAGCTTATCTGAAAAGTACGATCGGAAAAAATCTCACCGTTCGAGCTCCTCCGAGTACTCGATCTTGTCCCTGATAGAGCTGGTCAAGCTGTACGCCGACTTCTTCCTGTTCCCGTTGATCCTGCCGTTCTCGAGATCAAACTTGTGCTGCGGAATATTCTCCGCGCTACCGTAGTTGCTACCCCCGTGCAGTATCGATTTGCCGCGACCCTGATCAGAATTATGCTCAGAGCTGGCGCTTATACGCCGATGATGATCAAAGCTGGGATTATCCATGCCGAGGATCTGATCGCTAATAGAGACGCGTCTTTTGGCTAATTCCTCGGTCGACCTGTTCCCTCTTCCGCTCATATCGATATCCATGCTGCGCCTTCGAAAATCAGCCTCAAAGATGCATGCAAGAAAGGGCTCCGTCTTCGAAGAGGATTAATTCAACCGAGCTTGATATTTCTTCGAATCGTTCCGTTAATCGTTCGAACGAGCTCGACAAGCTCGACACCTCAAGTATCCAAGTACCTCTCTCTCTCTCTCCTACTTCGTCTCGCTAGTTTATTTCGATTTGGAAAAGTTCCAAAGTATCGGTGTCAAGTGTGACAGGTTCCTCCCGTGAAATACCGTCAGATGAGAAAGATCGATACACTGGAAACGTCGGAAAGCTCTCTCTCTCGATCGGCTACGTAAGCTTCTCTATATTCCGCAGAACTGAGGCGAAAAGGTCCAGCTTGGCGGCTGGAATCCAACAGACTTTCAGGTTCCTCGTTGGAACGCACGGATTTTCTTGATTTGTCTGGACTCCTCCGAAGCAACATGAATCCATGTACCCTAACGTAGAATTCGAGTTCCACACACCGTTCCCGAAATATTCGACCAACTTCGCTCAAAATCGAATTTCCCTTCGAATTTTCCAGAACGAACCAAGAGAACTATACTTCTTCACCGATTCGATTCACACTCGTGTTCCGGAAAGAAGGAAACGAAACGAGGAGACGGGTAGGATAAATTCGTCGAATCCACGAAGATCGAGGAGAGGATCGATTGTGAAGAAGTATTATAGTAACCGGAGCGGAACGAGAACGAGTCGCAATCGGCTTTCCGCGATTGACTGGCAATGGAGACGGCGCAGTTCACGATCACAGCTCGACGTCTCCCTGTCGATCGTTGACAGTAAGAGGAGTCGCGTGACGATGACTCCGAGAAAGTCCAAACACGATGATCCCCGATCGTTGATTAACGATCACGCGGGCCGATAGGGGAGCCGGCCGATCGTTTACAGAGTCGCGTGACGCTTTGTTTTCCCAGGGAGACTCGCTAACACCTAGCACAGATATCTTGACGACTACTTGACGTCTTCGACACCTTGACCCGCTTTTGCCGCCGTCGCGAGCCTCTCCACCGACGTGCGCCGCCAGCCAGAGCTTTGTTCACCTCGTTAGAACGCGATTCAAGGTTCGCGCTGCCGGTTCTAACTCGCTTCCCTTCGTTAGTATTCCTCGTCTTTCCTCCTTCAACGCGCTAACACCAACTCTCCGACGACGTGTGATCGTACCAAATGGATCTCGATCTTCCTTCAGTCCCCGTTCTTCGACGAACGGTCAAACTTCACGCTTAACTTGCGATACTTGAACTACTCGACCCCCGAAAAGAAGCAGAAATAACTCGACCAAATCACCTTTCTCACGAGTTACAACAACACACGTGACATTTTCATCCGAACGGAACACACACACTCTCGCTCGTGCTATACGCACTTCGATCAATTTCACCAAGTACAAGTGTTTCTGGATCGTTCTGGATTGTCATCGAAGCAACGAACTTCCATCGGGTCCAACGGCGTCGTTCGATCGTTTCTTCGGAGTAGAGAAGTGTTGTTGGAACACGGAGCACGGAAACGAAACACACTGTCAAACGAGGCACGGTTAACTAGCGACTAAACGCGGCAAAGTGTGTGCACACACCGCTCCGCTGTGTTTATGCGAATGGTGGGGCTGGTAAAAAGTGCTGGAACACAGGCAAGGAGGGACACCGTTACGACCGCGGTAATAATTGTTACCGCGTTGCACAGGATGGGCACAGCTGGACACCTCATTGACAGTCTATTCGGGCCTAACCCAACCGACCTGTCGTGCCCCTGATTGTAAAACCGATGCCTCCTCTCGCAAACTGACCCGTTGATTTACCAAGATCCAGAGAGAATCGCGGAGAAACGAGACGACGTATTTCGTCAACTTCTGCAGCTCTTCTCGTGTCTTTCGCTCAATGCAAATTCGAACTACGAGTTTGCGACAGATTCGCGTTCTTTTGCAGGTTTATACTCTTCTTTCTGTACGTATTTTCGAAGGCTCTTTGGTTTTCCAAGTGTTTTTTCTTTTTATCGACTGCTGGACAGGAAGATTTACGATTACGACACTCAACGGGCAGTTTTAGATTCTTCCTTTTTAATTTACGGATTTTTTGAAGCGATTGCTGGAGTTGTATTTCGATTTTACGAGTCTCTTAAATTGCTTCGCTGATCGATAGGCGATTATTTAAAGGCCCTCGTTTTTCTTCGTTGATTTTTACACGGGGAGAATGATTAATGAACGAATAGTCGAGAAACGAACGTTTACGTTGTTGTTCAATTGTTTTCCTTATTCTTCGAAATTCTTCGTAGTGGAAAGACGAGACTTTTCTTTGTGCCTTCGCTGATATATTCGCAGTTTAAAGTCGTTAGTGATTGATGAATTCTAAATGGTCACGGTTTCAAATAATTCGTGGAACACACTGAAAATTCTGTTAACTGATTTGTTCTTTCGTGGAAAAATATTTCGATCGATTAATTGAATTTTATCCTTTTTTATCCAACTTTTCCTTTCGTTCCCTCTTCAAATATCGTCACTTGTTGCACGTCGCGACGAGCGTCACTTTTCCGATAGCTGGCTAATTTTTAATTCGTATGTCTGGTCGAATGTGTGATAAAATCGAACCAATTGTCAGACTTATCAAATTCTCTTTTATACTCGATTCGTACACTTCACAAAATGTTCGATTCAATTACACTTATCTTTCCCCTCAACTTTCTCGGAATTCTAATTTTTTCTTCTTCTACAATTTTTCTTAGATATTAGATATGATGTAACAAGATATTACAACATAAGGCGCCGATAAATGTGAAATACTGTTGCTTTACTTCTAATGGACATCGTTAGATAATCAGATAAATTTTCAAGTAACGTTTCGATACGCTATCACATTCTAACCGTGTATTGCCAATTGAAAATTCATTTTCTTTAAATAATAGTTATCGTGCGTGAAGCTTTTACGTTACTACACTTTGTGAGAATCAATCGTTAAAATTCGAATGGAACTTTATCGAAATTCTCGTTCAACTTTTGTCCTGTTACGTTTCGAATTAAAAACAAATTGGATCACACTATTCCTATAACTCTGTTTCACTGTTTCGATTATAAAGCACACGTTGCCACTTTCTGCTAAAATTCAGATCAGCCTTTCGTATAGGAACTATTCGTTGCATTTCAGCGAAAAGCTGGTGTATCCAAGTTAGTAACTAATATTTAAATAACTTAAGGAATCTTTAAAAAATTTATCAATTTAATTGTATATTTGATTTTGCACAGTAAACATTGAATCGCCCCCCCAAAAAAATGTCAAACTTCTAAACCACTTCAGTTGGAAAAATTCCGAATACGCGAAGCAATATCGAAACAATTTATCGTCAATCGATCATCCAGTTCAAGTACTTACCATCGACGCGAGCAGAAAAACTAAAATCGACTGGTAAAGAAAAATTCCACAAATATTGTACTCTGGCACCGTTCAGAATCACCGTGCGAAAATCACCTAATCGAGGGGTCCTCTTTTAATTCGATTAAATCATTCGATGAAATTCGATGCGCGCGGGCAGTTCTAAATTGATAGAAACCGTGCGAATTAATTGAAATTTCACAGTTTCCTGGTCGTACGCGATCGAATCAAGTGGACACACGCGGCCTTTTGGGAGATTCCGGTGCAAAATACTAACGCGAACGTCGTTTCACACTCGCGATATAATTGTCGCGAAACAGTTTCGCCGCGTTCTCTCTATACACAGCCTGGGTTCGATCTTTTTCGTGGCACGTTCACGAGTATACTAAACTCCCCGGTGCCGACAGGATCGTTCCGAATTTCATTGTCAATGTTACGCCGTTGCTTCGACATTTGTTTACATCACGTTCACCGCTGATTCATCCACGATGTTAGATTAACCTGCTAACCGGAATGTTTTTCTGTCAGCGACGCTCATTCGACGAGTATTATTAAACGACGACAGATCAATTGTTGAGTTTACCGAGAGACATCGATAAATATACACGATTGTCCTTAGTATGATTTCTGATAAAAATATAACAACAAAAATAGACAAATCCAGATGTTTCTGGAAACGTGAACGACTTATTTCGAGAAAGGAGAGACACTTTCAGATGAAATGACACATTCTCGATGATACCAGAGAACTGTTTACGTTTCTTCATCATTTTCTAGTTTTAGGTAGTTACGGTATGTTAGTGCTGTGTTTGTGGAAAAATTTAGGTGTATTTGGTAATTTATTGGTTTAAGATTTTGTGTGTTTGCGTTTCATGTTATTGAACATGATTGCGTTTAGATTTGTATGTAATTGTATTGTTATATTTTATTAGCCATTGTGTATTGTAATTTATGTAATTTATGATATTATTGCTGTACTCGTAGAAGAATTTATTAGTCTGTGTTCGTTCTATTAATGTAATTTATTTATATTCACATACTAGGAATTTTAATTGCATTGGCTGGATTAATTTTTGTATTACAGAAGCACCGACATAATAATTTCAATGTTTTAAGTGGTTTGTGCGAATGTTTAAGTCGTTATTACAGCTGCAATCTAAAATTCCAAGTAAATGGGCTGATCGTGCACTTTTCAATTTTTAAACTTCGCTAAAACACGAATAAATAACATCTGCAGTTCCTTCAAATAAAAATATTTTTTCACCAATACTAATACATTCATTCATCACGTATCAGATGACCAATTCTCAAAACAACTTTACACACCATGTGACCGATTCAAGATTTAATCTTCGCTCCTCTAATGAAGCACGAGCACTTTATAGATAAACGAGTCTATGAAAGTAAACAATATAAAATCTCTCCTTTCAAAACGCGACTATTATTTTTCATACAATTCACGTTACTTCGAAACCCAGACAAAATTTACTCGATAAAACAAAATCTGTTGATAAATTCTTCGTTGCATATTGATTATTCGGAAAATACATCAACACACTGTGAATAAACAAAATCTTCGAGAATGAACAATACCCGTAAACGTTCTCTTTCGAATTAGAAAATTAAAACGAGACAACTCGACGAACTTTGCCTCGACTTTCAACCCTTCGGTAAATTTGATTGTCGATTCAAACGTCGAATCGCGTCTCGCGTTTAATTTCGATCGTATCGTGGATCATCGACGTGATTTCCACGGGTATCGTAATAAGCCAACGATAACCTATCTCCAGAGGGAAGCACCTCCCAAGTCGAGCAGATTAATTGCGCTGATTACGGGGGGGATAATTATTGAGCAACGGAATGTTGCGCGTGCTGTCGCGTTTTTTGATTTGCTTGTCATGTTCTTCCTGAATGAGCGATCAAAGGAGCAAAATCGATACGTCAATCACGAAGCTCTCATTTCTGAGAAACCCACGAGACAAGCAGAGACACTTGTAACTGCTGTAACAACATATTCAAATTGTTAAGTTAATCGCGAAAATTTCTGTTTCTGAGAAAATTCACGAATAAGCAGAGGAATCTGCAACTGCTATAGCGAGATATTAAGATTCGGCGAATACGATACAGTAGAAGTGTGAAACTAAGTTGAATTAGGCGAATTGCGAAAATTTTGGTTTCTAAGAAAATTCAGGAAACAACTAGAGACATGTGCAACTTATTAAAATTCAGCGAACCTGATACAGCGAAAGT